TTTTCCTCCTGCAGAGCCTGTGAGGCAGCTTGGTGTAGAGTGATGGTGCTCAAACTTTTTAGTTTCAGAACCCCTTTATATTCTTAAAAATGGAAGACCCAAGAACATTTTTGTTTGTAGGTTATATCAATATTTATCATATTGTAAATTAAATTGAGAAGTTTAAAAAGTATTAATTCATTTTATAATCACATTAATAAATTAATTACATCAAAAAATGTAGTGAGAAGACTGGTGTTATTTAACATGTTTTGCCTATCTTTTGAATGTCTGGCTTAGTGAAAGACAGGTTGGATTCTCCTCTCTACTCTTGCAGTTAGTCTCTTGTAATGTGTCATTTTGATGAATGTGTATGAAGAAAAACCACTTTTTACGATAGAATATGTAGTTGGAAAAGGGAAGAGTATTTTTAATAGCCTTTTCAGATAATTGTGGACATTATTCTTTGATACTACACCAAAACTTGACAAGTGACACTTCCTTCAAGTTCAGTGTAGTGTGGAATCTGAAACCACTTTGTTTCTCTAAAACACATTGGTCTCTCTTGCACTCTGTTTGGATTATGTAATATTATGTTAGCTGAGTTATACAGGTCTTCCAAATGTTGACATATCTATATACTTATAAAAACCTAGGTGGCCCTTGCGCGCGACGTCGTCACAATATGGCTGCCACAAGATGGCCACGCAACACAGCAGAGGCGGGGCCTGGCGGCTGCTCCACACAGTGAGGCCTGGGGGTCCCGTGGCTCCACGCAGCGCGGATGAGGCGGGTCATGGCAGGGGAGGGTGGTTGTGGGCGATCAGGCTGGCAGGGGAGGGCAGTTGTGGGCGATCAGGCCAGCAGGGGAGCAGTTAGGTGTCAATCAGGCCAGCAGGGGAGCGGTTAGGGGGTGATCAGGCTGGTAGGCAGAAGCAGTTAGGGGCAATCAGGCAGGCAGGTAGGCGAGCAGCTGGGAGCCAGCAGTCCTGAATTGTGAGAGTGATGTCTGACTGCGGGATCGGGCCTAAACCAGCAGTTGGACATCCCCTGAGGGGGTCCCAGATTGGAGAGGGTGCAGGCCAGGCTTAGGGACACCCCCTACCCCCGTGCACGAATTTAGTGCACGAGGCCACTAGTCCTATATAATAAAAGGCTAATATGCAAATTGACCAAACGTTGTAACGAACCAGTCACTATGACGTGCACTGACCACCAGGGGGAAGATGCTCAATGCAGGAGCTGCCCCCTGGTGGTCAGTGTGCCAGAAGCCGCGTTCACGGCTGGTGAGCGCAGTGGCAGTGGCAGGAGCCTCTCCCACCTCCACAGCAGCGCTGTGGATGTCTGTCGGCTTAGGACAGCAGCACTATGGATGTCTAACTGCCGTCAGTCGGACATCCCCCGAGGGCTCCTGGATTGTGAGGGCGCAGGCTGGGCTGAGGGACTACCCCTCCCCCGTCCCCGCCCCCAAATGCATGAATTTTGTGCAGTGGGCCTCTAGTTTTATTATATAACATCAAAAAATCACATTCATTACTATTTCCACTGATCTCATCGGAAAAGTCTTTAAGTACTTGGGAAACTGGGAAGCTCTTGGTGACAGATATAAATTTTCCAAGATTCTAATTTTTGCCTGGATTTTATCATTGACCACAACTACTATAAGCTGTTTTCCTTGAATGGATAGACTCGCTTCATTCCTTTTCAAGAAAACATCTGCCATACACCCAGATCTGGATAACCATCGTTTTCAAGTCCATGAGCCAGTGTCCCCAACCAGACGGATGCACAGGAGCTTTTCCCAGAGAGCAGCAGTGTTCTCTGTGCGAGAGCTGCCATGTACTGTCAGGTCTGGGCGTGAGAAAACTAATGCATGACTTCGTCAAGGGCATTCTTCTGTGAAACTCGTCTGCTGCAGTGCCTGATACAGAGGCACCAACACTATCTGGTTCCTGCTCGGGGGGCCAGCAACTTGACCCCAGGGCTTTTGTGCCAACATCACTGAGTGTCAATACAATAGAATAGGCTCATAATATCCTGATATTATCATGACTTAATGGGTCACCCAATGGGGGGACCCTCAGGGTCTGTGGGATAACACTTTGAGAACCTATGGTGTGGGAGTCTGACTCTGGAGGCAAAGCCAAGTGTGTGTAATACTGACTGGCTCTGTCATTTTTATGCTGCCATGGGACCCGAGTGAGGCCACATGTTCTTTCTAAGCCCTTGTCTCCTCATCTGGAGAATGAAGACATGGGCTTCTTTGACCATTTTTCGTGAGCACTAAATGGTAGAACTAATGAAATGTGCCTGTGTGGGGTTAGTACATAGCAGGTTCTAGAGAAGTTTCCTTTCCTTTCCTCTCCTCTCTCCTCTCTCCTCTCTCCTCTCTCCTCTCTCCTCTCTCCTCTCTTTTCTCCTTTCCTTTCCTTTCCTTTTTCCTTTCCTTTCCTTCTTAGAACATTGGTTCTAGCCAAGCAGAGGCCCCTTGGCTGTTCTCTCACTTGCAGTGCCTTGAGGAAGGGGGAGCAGAATGGACAGGGAGCAGCAGAACTTCCTGGGCTGTTTAAGCAGGGAGGTCTTAGGTTCTTTGGACTCATCAGTTCTATGCGGACGACTTAGTGTAGTTTGAAATAAAGAGCCAGCTTCTAAGAAAATTAGCAGTCTTCCTGTTGCTCTCGTCTTCTGGGCTTTGGGCTCTTTAGCAGTAATCCTGGTTTAGCCTCAGAACTCTAGGGTGGAGTGGAGGAGAAGGGGCCTTTCACAGCTGGAAAACCATCTCAAGGAAAAGGCAGCTTTTGCTGCAAGAGCTGTGCCCTGCTGGAAGTCTAAGTGTAGTGTGGGACAAGGTTTTCCCATCCAGAAAAATACTGGAACATGATTTTGTCACAGCCAAGCGAAACCCGAAATGCTCAAAACCCAGCTCTCTTCAAATTTAAAAAATGAACATTAATCTGATAGTGGTTTGAAGACTGTGGCCCAACTCCAGAAGAGGTCGACAGTTCCTGTCTAAGACAGATCCCATTGAGTCTTTAGTGTATCATGTATTATCTTCCTTATTGCCCTGGGGGTGGAGATGGGGACATGCTATGAGAATGTAGCTTTCAGAAGAAGAAGTTGTGGTTTTGACCTGCTAGTGGGTTCAGTGTCAAGCCCGGCGTGTTATGGTGTTCCAGGTCTTTCTGGGAGAGCTCTTGCCAGCTCAGTGGTGCCTGGTCCAGAGCTGCTGGCAAGGACTTTTCCAGGAGAAAACCATGCCCTGATACCTGCAAGAATACATTCTGAGTGCAGTGGCCCAGTGTTTGAAATGACCTTAGTTCTCTGTGCAGATCTTGGGTACTCAGGCTGAACATCCTTATTTTACTAATCTTTATTGGTAGCTAGACTCGGTATCATGTGTATACAAGCCCCGAATTTTAAAAAGGGTTGCACATGTATTAAGTTTTGTCCTGAAGAAGTCTCCCAGCAAGGTTCCCTGTAGCTCAGAGCACTCAGATGTGATGGGGGTAGCAGAGCTGCCTGGGTGACTGTACACCAAAGTGTTTAAATCGATGTCTTGTTAGGTTTTCACAGACTCTCTGTCCCCAAGATAGAAAGGACCCCTGCACCCCAAGATGGATGAGGATCTTTGTATTTCTCTTCTCCATCATATGTGGTTCTGTGAAGTATGTGATGGTGGGCCTGGGGTGCAGGTGAACCCATCTCAATTGGAGTGACCAATGTGGCAGAAGGGGTGCTGGGCTGCACTTTGCTGTTTGTCTTCTTAACGTTGTGACCTTGAGCAAGTCAGTTCACTTTGTTGAGCTCCAGCATCTTCATATGTAAACTCAGTCTTAGGACACTTGCCCCTTATGTGCTGCAGGGTGTGGTTGGTTGTGAGGCTTCAGAGGAAGGGCTGAGAAGCCCTAAGATGGGGGGTTCAAGGCAAGAGAACACTGAAGAGTGCCCAGAGAAAAGGTGGAAGCCTGCAGGTGGAGGAGGACAGAGCCTGCCCTGTCAGAGGACAAGGAGCCAGTCCCTCCTGGTGGCCGTGACGTTGGCTCTGCAGGCAAACCACCTGCATTTGAGTGCTCACTTCTCCATGTGTGACCTTTCTGTGCTTCCGTTTTGTCCTCTGAAAATAGGTGTCAAAATAACCTCCACAACAGTAACTGCCCTTAAGGATTACATGGATAATAATAGGCCGCAAGTCCAAGCCTGGTTTCTGACTATGGGAAATGCTCCGTCATGTTAGGTCTTACTACCGTCAGGACCACAGTAGGCTTTCCCCACATGTGACAATGTTTTGTTTCAGAGACATAACTAGATGTGTGGTGTAGCCAAAGCCTGGTAGCAACCACCATATTTTAGAGCAGCCGTCATTTAACAGGGATAGGTCCTAAGGAAGCCAGTCAGAGCAGCGGGCACCTCAGTTCGGTCGGTGAGTGTGACCCTCCAAGGGAGCTGTTATGTGAGATTCCTCTAGGCCCTTTGGAGAAAAGGGGCATATCCATGCTGTGAGTGTGCTGTTTGTGAAAAATTTACAACATTTTATTGGCGAAACTATATTTCAAACATTACCTTGATTACCTTGCTATGGGAAATAGGACAGAGAAAACCAAAAGCAATTCCTTACATGTCTTGGATTATTCTATATTAGTTCCTAAAGAGATTATTTGGGTGTTTTCTTGAGCAAACAAGCATGTGCTGTTTTTACCTGCTTTACCTGTTCTGTGAGGGCTGTAGGAGACATATTGTCAGGTGTGCAATCAGTGGACCAGGATTCAGAAGACCTAGGTCCCAGCTCTGCCACACCCTGCTGTTCAACCTCGGGCAAGTCACCTAACTTGTTTGGACCTCAGGTTTGAGAACTGAAAAGTGGAGAAGATGTTGGTCATCTTGCCCTGCTCACTTCACCTGGGGCATCATGAGGCTCAGTGAGAGAATCCGGGTAAATTGCTTTACAACCAAAATACAAGTATTAACAAATGGCTGCTGGTAACCAAGTTCTGACCCTCCTAATGAAATATTTTCTTTCTCAGTGATGTTACAGCCTTTCGATTATGACCCCAATGAGAAAAGTAAACACAAGTTTATGGTTCAGTCTATGTTTGCGCCAACTGACACTTCTGATATGGAAGCAGTAGTAAGTACTGAATGCTTCTTACTTTTTAGTATTCAATGATTAGGGACAGAATTGTGGGTGCATGCAGTTCACAGTGTGTTAGAATTGTTTTAAAGGGGAATGTTGTTTCCAGGGAGGTTTTTACTCTGGCTGCCTTTATGGTTTTCCTAAAAGCTTTGATTTTTTACATTTTATGTAACTCTCTAGAATACTGTTCTTCTTTGACTTTTGTATCTCAGTTTGCCTCAGCAATTCCTTGTTCTGATGGATTGTATCTTGAATGGTTTGTGGGTTCTCTCCCTTTCCTCCCATCATGTGCCCTACAGAAAAGGGCACCCGCTCATTACCATGTCTCCCCCCACCACCCCCCACACCCCCCAGAACTCAGGGGGATGTGAGCGAGGTGAATACTAAATGTCCTCCACGCTTAAGAACCCCCCCCCACCCCCCCCCCCCCGCTTGGTTCTGGTAAGCGTGATTTTTTTTTTTCTTTAGGTTCTTTCATTTTTTTCTGCTTAAATGCATGTTTAACTAATTTGGTAAAAATAAGATGACTTCATTTTCATAAAATAAATGATACTATATTATTGATTTTGCTGGAAAAAGAGTGTAATGGAAATTCCAAAGTAAGCTTGTTACTCAAATAAATGAGGAGGCCTTCTGGTGCTGTGAGTGTGAGTCGCAATATACAGAGCAGCTTCGCCATCCATCGCACCGGCCAGGACAGGTGTCTGGTCTTCACAGAGTGGGAAAGAAAGGCAGATTGCCTCACTCCAGCCTGCCAACCCAAACTGCAGTCATCCAAGAAATGTCTGCAAGTTTGGTTAGCTGTGACTCACACTGTCCTGTAGTTTTCTCTCTCAGAGTTTGATACTGAGGGCTGTTTTATGCACAGCTCACCTTTGTGTCTCAGAATCACCACACAGCCTTTTCTACTCGTCTTGGAAAAGTAAACTGACCATCTTCATGTGTTTAACTTTGGGGCTGTAAATGGAGAAGCCACTATTTGGGGGTTTGAGAGAGATCAGTGATAATGAGCCATCTTCCTTTGCATAAGAACAATTATTGAGGCTACTTTCCCTTTTATTTCCTAGATCACGATGTGTCATTTCATGTTAATTTGTGTAATCAAGGAAATGTATGGCAAATACAAAATAAGGGATATCTGAGAATATGTTCTATTTGGCTTTTGTTGCATGGCTTACTAAAGAGAGCATGGGCTTGGGTGTGGAGCTGAGGTCTGCCTTTTACTAACACTGTGGCCTTGGGCGATTTCATTAACTCACTTGAGGGTTTGGTCACCTGTAACATGGGGTTAAGGACCTGGTTGATGGGTTGTCGTGGGATGAAACGTGCTCTGTGTAGAGCACCTGGCAGTGCCTGGCTCTGTTTCATCTGCCGTCACAGGTCTGGCACTCTCGTAGTCAAGGTGAATCTCACTTCCTCATATGGTAATTTTTGTACCAGTTTTAAAGATGTTTCTATGAAATGTACATTGTAGAATTTTTGGAAATACAAAAATGAAAAGTTACCTGAAATTTGTTATACTTGACCTAACCACTGTTAATGAATGAAGCCTTGAGCTTTTTTATTTTATTTTAAAATATCTTTTTATTTTGATATACAGAAAGTTGAAAAAATGCTACATTAACCACTCATATTACCTTTACCTAGAGTCACCATTTAACATTTGCCACATCTGCTCCATTTCTGTCATAAGCTTTCTTTTCTACTGAACCACTTGAGGGTAAGATGCAGACTTCACCCCTAAATGCTTCAGAATAAGGCCAGTCTCCTGTATAGCCACATACTGTTACCACAGCCTAGGAGTCAACATGGATCGTATTGTCTAACAGAGAAACACACATTACAGTGTTTTTCAGTTCCCCAGAGGCCTTTAGTTCTAGTCTGATAGAGTAGCCTGGACCTTTTTAGTTTTTTGTGACTTTGAATTTTTTAGAGTCTAGGCCAGTTGACTTGTAGAATGTCCCACATTCTGGATTTGTCCAGTCCAGTTGTTTCCTCATGATTAAATTCAGGTCAAATGTTTTGTGGCAAGAATATTCCATAGGTGATGTCATGTATGTATCATTTCAGAAGGCATTTAATGTTGATTGTCCCTCTGTTGGTGACACTAAGTTTGATTACTTGGTTGCAATGATGATGGCCAACTCTCTCCAGGGTCAAAGCACATTTGCCCCTTGCGGTTAATAACAGGGAATCAGTGATGCGCTGAGTAAACTGGTGCTTGGACTCAGCAGCAGTCCTCCTCCCATAGGCCTTAGCATCCAATGACAGTCCTCCCCAATGCTCTGACGTGTGCATGTTTGCACAGAAGCAGACTCAGAACATTGATGTTGCATCTTCACTGACTTTCTGTGGATTTCCCATGAGTGAAATGCTCCTCAGTGTCCTGTGAACGGCATGCTGCACCACGGAGAAACTGCCAGGGTTTATTGGCAGTTCACACCCTGTTGTCTTCATTCTTGGTTCTTAGTACCTGTGTTGCTCCAGCTGCCCTTGCCTCTTGGTCCTGGGGCAGGGCTGGGGGAGTTTGTTCCTTCTCTGTATTGTAACCCTCCTGATGCACTGGGCTACGGTTCTCAGAATCCCATCTTCCACTTCCAAAAGGAGGAAGAGTAAACCAGGAATGCAGCGTCCCAGAACAGGGTTTAGCCAGGAAGCCGCCTGCACCAACAGACGGAGGAGGAGAGCAGCAGAGAAGGCTTGCTGGCTAATGTGCCCTGTTGGTAGTTGGCAGCATGGATCCCGAACCACACCCAGATAGGACGTGCTTACTCTGTCTAAGGGATGCACCCTGTAAAGGAGGTTTATTTTCTTAAGGGTCAAGGTTAGCCCTGGCCATCCAACCATCAGCCATGGTCCTCTCTCTTCTAAGTGTTTCCCACAGACTAGCAACAGGGGGGCATTGGTTGACTTTGAGGAGTTAGGCAGCAAGACTGGGATTTGCGAAGTGTAATAAATATTCAGGAAAGCTATTATATTTAATCTTGTCATGTTGAAAATATTGAAATCTCAGCAGACTTAATTTCTTTATTTGATATATATCAGGGCTTTCTCATTAAGAGTATTTTTCTGAAATTGTCAGTTATAGGAAGAAAATTATTCTTCCTGCAGCTTTATAATATCCTGATTATTAAATTTAAATTGTTTTAGTGGAAGGAGGCAAAACCGGAAGACCTTATGGATTCAAAACTTAGATGTGTGTTTGAATTGCCAGCAGAAAATGATAAACCAGTAAGTATATTTATAGTTAACAATAATTGAATGTTGCAAACTGATACTTATTTGCATACCATCTCCTGCAAAACCAAGATTTAAGTTGGCAAATTATTTTCCTCTTTCTCATGCATAAAAAAAAATCTTAAGTCGACAAATAAGTGGGCCCCCACAAAATCAGCCTTTGAAAGACTTGCAGAGAGACAACGAATTGGAATAATTTTTGCCCTTGCAAAGTACAACCTGTTGGCTGTGGAAATGTTATAAATCCCAAAGAGCATCTTTGACTTCACAGAGTTATAGGTCGCTCTTACATGGGGTAAGACTAAAACAGGGAATAATTTGCCATTTATCATGGTGCTTGACAGACAGGTGTTAAGCATGTAGGGTCTGTTGTTTCACAAAGAACCTAAAGGTTCTCCAGTCTGCTGTTTCCCTCAGCACCACCTCTCTATCCCGTAACCCCACTTCCTGCTGCTGTCAAAATTGCTTTTAGAGGAGGAGTCTCCACTTCAAACTAACATGTGGGCCCTATACTCTGCTATGGGCCTTGTAGAATGCCTGACTTCTGTCCACTAAATACTGGTAACTCTACCTAGTTGTGACAACCGAAAATATCTCCTGACATTGCCA